CAGTGATGAAAATACTCAAATTATTTAAATGTCCAATAACAGGAGATGGAGATGTATTATATTTTGTTGTGTGTGATACATTCACACACACACAAATAGGGGTTTCAGTTTGGGGCACTGTTGACATTTTGGGCTGGATAAGTTGTGAAGGGCTGCTATGACCACTGTAGGATATTCCATAGCTTCCCTGACCCCTGCCTACTAGATGCTAGGAGCCCCTTCTCCCCATTCTGACAATCAAAACTACCTCTAGACACTGCTAGATGGCTTTTGTTGTTGTTGTTGTTGTTATAAATGGACAGCATGCCTTTATTTGTTTATTTTTATGTGGTGCTAAGGATCAAACCCAGTGCCTCACATGCGCTAGGCAAGCACTCTGCCACTGAGCTACAGCCCCAGCCCTGCTAGATGGCTTTTGAAGATCAGAATCATCCCTGGTTGAGAACTAGTGCATTAAGTTGTAGGCATTAGAATATTTTTGAAGATTGTTTATTTAGTGGTCCTCAGATCCAACAAAGGTCTTTGTGAATGCTTTCTACTACTGAGCTACACCCCCAGCCCCAAAAGACTATTTACTTTAAGTGAGAAAATGACCAAAATGAGTGAAAGTAGCAATATATGAAAGTCTCCATGTAGATATAGGAGCTTGAGTATTAAAATCTAGAAGGAAGTTGATCAGTGTTTGCATTAATCCTCCCCCAACTGCCCACCCCGCTTCTGTCTTTTAGTGCTAGGGATTGAACCCCACTGGAGATAGAACCCAGGACCTCACACTTGCTGGGCACGTGCTGTACCACTAAACTACATCCCTGCCATGACAGATGTCTTGAAAAGATGTGGTAGAACAAGACAAAGAGCTCAGACCTTGAGGTAGAGGCCTGGGTTATTGTCCGTTGTGCCACTACTTGGGCAGTGACTGGGAAAATGGCTTGATCTCTGTGGTCTCTTTCCTGAGGAGTAGGTTCTGTTTAATCTTTGACTTGATTCTGATAATGATTCTGAGTTTTCCCCTTGCCCTCGAGCTGCCATCCTTCCATTCGTCCATATACACTTGTATCATTTGCTTCTGGACCTTTTTCTGTCAAACAAGTACCATACCCACCCACCAGTGGTAGAGCTAGACAGATGCTCTACCACTGAACTACACCCCGAGTCCAACCACCCTGATTTGATCATTACACACTGTATACATGTATTAAATAATCACACAGTACCCAATAAATTTGTACAATTAAGACAAAAATAAAAATATATCCCAGTGGGAGAGCCAGCGCAGCCTCCAGCTGTGCAGGGTGCCTGAGGTCAGTGAGCATCTGAGACAGGAAATGCAAGTGCTGAGAGTGGGGTGGTCCATGCCTGGTTTTGAAGGCTGAGTATCCCTGTTATGGCCAGCTTCCTTCCTGGCCTCTTCCTTTCTTCCCCAGGACAAGTTGGTTATTCATTCTCCTGCTTATTTTTTATTTCGTATGCATGTAGGAACCCTGTGAAATTGCCAATATTGTTTTTGTCCTACAAAATAAAAATTTTATTTGGCTTAACCTGATATTTTGTGTAAACTCACATATACAGATACTTGCTAAATAGAATTACCCTATTCCAACTATTCCACAGACGTTTTTGTTTAGTCTCTTGGACATCTTTTCTTTTCTTTTTTTTTAAGAGAGAGAGACACAGAGACAGAGAGAATTTTTTAATATTTATTTTTTAGTTTTCGGTAGACACAACATCTTTATTTTATTTTTATGTGGTGCTGAGGATCGAACCCAGCACCCTGCCCATACCAGGCGAGCACGTTACCACTTGAGCACATCCCTAGCCCTCTTGGACATCTTAATACTGATACACAACAAAACTCTTATTCTGTTTAATGATTTTATGTGTATCCAATTGTATGGATATATTTTTAATTTTGTTTTAATTGTATAAATATATGGGGTACAGTGTGATAATTTAATACATGTATACAGTGGGTAGTGATCTAATCAGGGTAGTTGGACAGGAGGTAGAGCTCAGCGGTAGAGCATCTTCCTAGCATGTGTATGGCCCTGTGTATATCCCCAGTACCCACCTCACACACAAAATCAGGGTCATTGACATTTCTTATAAACACCTAAAAATTATTTGATTAATAATTAGTGTATATAAGTATTGTTAGACCAGGACGCAAGAAAAGACCACTGACTCCAATTAAAATCAAATTAAAGCAAGCTTATTATTTCGACCGGCCGGGCTGCTTCTCCCTCCCAAAACGGCGGGAACAAGACAGCACCCCACCTTTCCTACAGCCCAGCTTTATAGCCCAGAAAGTTACACAAAGGGGGGTTACAGATAACAGAACTCTGACAAGCATCACACTAATG